CAGGCTTTTAGGTTGAGGGACAAGGAGCTACTAAGGAGTGTACAGAGAGAGCTGAGGAAAATGAAGAAAATGAAGGTGGACAAGTGCATGATTGCATGGGTCTTGTACTACCTGTCTGGAAGTCCCCAGTATGTGCGGTTGGGAACCTGCCTGGAGCACCTCAGGGATCTGTGCTCTTCGCCTTCCTCTTCACCCTGTACAAGACAGACTTCCAATACAGGTCGGACCTCTGCCACCTTCAGAAATTTTCTGATGACTCTGTGGTGGTTGGGTGCATTAGGGATGGGCAGGAAGGAGAGTATTGGAACCTTGTGGAAAGCTTTGTTGAGTGGTGTACAAGGAACCACCTGCTCCTCAGTGTGACCAAGACCAAGGAGATGGTAGTGGACTTCAGGAGGAAGAGGACCACGATCAGTTCCGTTATCATCATGGGTCAGAATGTTGAGCTGGTAGACACCTACAAATATCTAGGTGTCTGCTTGACAATTGGACTGGAGGGCCTACACAGAGAACAATACATCATAACCCCTCCAGGACCTACTGGTCAGACAGCGGAGCATCTTCAGCAACAGACTACTTCAGACACCTACGGTAGCAAGGAACGTTACAGAAGATCATTTGTACCAACTGCGATCGCACTGTACATCTCCTCGTCACTGTGCCGGGACATTACTGTATCCTGAGCCACAGAGAGGACAGGCTCACTGGGCACCAACTGGACATTACAACATCTCTCCACTCATATTACTATGCACTGCCACTTTGATTACACATTATACATATTCCATATTGCACTGCCACTTTGTTTATTTGTCTACAAATACTGCACATTGCAGCGCCACTTTGTTTATGTGTCTATAAATGGCATATTGCACAACTGTTAAAACTGGTTATAATTTAAAGTACATAGTCACTTGTTCATTCACTGGAGGGGACATGCACCACTGCATTGTGAACCACATAGTATTTATGCAATTTACTTCTTATTTTTGTCTCAAACTCTCAATAAGAGCCAAGATAAATGTGATCAATAATCCTTAATTTTGCTCTTGTAAACATTCTACATCTGTCTACAGTCTATTAGAGCTGCATGAATGCTGATGTAGATCAGACTGAACTACTGTGATCAACATCTGTGTACATCTGTAAACACTCAGCTAAACCCCACACATTTAGTTCATACAGGTGAAGACATTTCTACACAATAGAAGCCCAAGAGCTGTTTATTCACACACTTTCACATCTCTCAAGTGATTGTGGAGGTTTTGTAGCTTTGTGTTTCTGTAACTGGCTTTTCCTCCAGAACAAGAATAAATCACACATATGAGCTGCTGTTGTTGATGGAGGATCACAGGACTGACTATTAAGAGAGAAAAACACTCCATGAAGTGTTTAATGTTGTTTAAATAGAATCATTTCTATAAGGGTTGAGTTTCTGCTGTAGGTTTACACTTCAACCTTTTAACTGAACATTTTCATGGAGTTGTTTTGAAAACAGTGAATGACAGTTCAGTAGTGAAGGATGAAGAACTACAGTACAAATGAGAAAAAGATTTCTGATAAGGAGATAAAAAGAGTTAAAAAGACTGAAGTATTGTAATTGTATAAATGCTTCTCATGGAGATTTGCCTAACTTTGTGTTTCTCTTTGTTTTTATTCCACAGCAATAACAGTGAGTATAGATCATATATATATATATATATATATATATATATATATATATATATATATATATATATATATATATATATATATATATATATATATGAGAAATAACTGTGTTTCCTTCTTTCTCTGCTGGTAGTGACTGATTTTATACTCTTATCACATGAACTACATTCAATACAGACATCAAGCAGCTACATAATATTGAGTTTCAGGTAAATTTCACATGATGAACAAAGTCTCTGATCTCAGAATGAAAGCTTTTGACTTCATCTCCCTCCTTCCTTCCCACAATGCTCCTGTGCATAATCCCACTGCACTGCAGAAATGTAGAGACAGTGAAGTTCACTGATGAGAAAAAGACACAACAAATAAAAGCAGTCTGGCTCTGTTGGGAGTGATGTCACTGTTCTTATGTGATGATGGAATATTTGAGTCGTTCATCATCAGTACATCATTATCATTAGAGTGTCTCTCATTACTGTAGTTTTCCTCTCCTCCATTACTGAAAATAGCCCAGAACACACACAGCAGGAGCTTCTGACTCACACTCACACACACTATCTGCCTGTTTGATGAGTCTCTATATCAGTGACTCACAACAAGCAGCTAATAATGAAGAGTCAGCAGCTCTGAAAGACTTGATTACTGAGATCCTCTCATCTCCTTCACTTCCATTCACTTCATTTAAGAATGATCAGCTTCTCTTATTCAGTCTGCAGCTCTCTCTCATCTCCAGCCTGCTCTTCTACTCATGTGCTCCAGTTTAACAGTTCATATTCTCCTCCACTACAAAGCAGCTCCACCTGTGTTCCTTCAGTGTGTGGAGGAGTTCTAGATGGACTGATGAGGCATCATTTAGTCCACAGTCCTTCTTTACACATGACTCAGCTTAACATCTCCAGACTGTTTATAGGAGGTGATTAATAGAAGAGAGAGATGTGCATTACAGACTGAAATAGAGATGAGTGTTTAGATGTTCATGCAGTGATTCTAAATGAATGATCATTTCATTGTAACAATTCAACATTTGGTGATTACTGTCACTAAAATTTAGTGTGCAAAAAAAAAAAAAATAATAATAAAAAATCAAAATTGCATTTATTGTCACAACACATCTACACAGATGCGAAGGTGAGTGAAAATCTTAGGTGCATAGCCCCCTTTAGAACTTTAAAATGCAAAAAATATATATACACATACACTTAATGTACACATTAGTATACACCAGTGTTGCACCTTTCTAATATACAGTTTTTGTACAGTAATATAAGTTATGGAATAAAAGCTATGATATGTGCAGTTGTACACTTTTCCATATGTGCAGTATGTGAGGCTGTGGTAAATAAATGAAATGCAGGGTACACAGGGGATAGAATATCGATATATAGGTATTCCAGATTACAAGATTTGCATAGAAGATGTACAAGATGTTGAGGAATTATAAAACACACACAATGAGCTCCAAGTTGATTAATGTTTTTCACTGCTGCTCAGTTTATAATCAGCCTCATACAAACAGAAATCTCATCTAATTAATGTTCCAAAGGTCAAATTCATTCATTAATCATTTTCTCCTCTCTAGGATTTCCTCATCCAGCAGGTGAGTTCACTGATTAATAAATATTATTAACCTAAAAATAGTTTTATTAATTTGTTATAAGTAGTTAATGTTTATACATATATATATATATATATATATATATATATATATATATATATATATATATATATATATATATATACTCCCTTATCATCAACCTAACAACTGTTGATTTGTTGTCAGACTGATTAGTTGTTCAGTTTTACTCCTGTTAGAAAATCATTCTCTAACTCTCTGCTTTAATCTCTTCTCCACCTGAGTTTAGATTTTTCAATCAGAGTCTCTGCTGTTAGTAATATCAGCTCTCAGTGATTCATACTGACACCAACCATCATCACATCTTCACTCTGTTTTATTCTCTTCTACAGAGGGACAGAGAATGGACAGAAGAGGAGAGACTGAAAATGAAGGAATCTGTTCTGTTTATGGGTGAGTTTTAAAGGAGATACAAAATAAAACCCAATGACAGTTAAACCTGTTAAATTTGAATGCTGTAATGTAGACAAGTTTCTTAAAAACATTACTTTTTTATTATAATGAAAAATATCATTTTTAATATAAACATGTTTACCACTGTGTTAAATCACCTTTCTTTAAACTGTTTAATCATTCAGGTACTGAGGATCATCTGCTGTAATTTTCTGTGGTTGTCGTTGTCTGATTCTCTTCTTCATGATATGCCAAACATTTTCAATAGAGACAGATCTGGACTGCAGGCAGGCCAGTCAAGCACACAGCAGAGTTTTAAAGGGTTAAAAATTGTAAATACTGTAAATATTTATTAAAGAGGTGTGACAGATACTGTAGAGTCACTAAAGATGGTCTGAATTCTTTATAATTTGACAGACCTGATTATTATTGGATATTAAACTGTAGAAATCTGTTTATTCAGATTTCTGTGTAACTCTGTGCTGTGACAGAACAGATAGTATCAGGTGATGAAGGAGGTGTCTGATAGGTCTGAAGGAGGAAGCTGTATTTAGGAATCTTCTCATTAAATGCAGTTATTTGATGAACAGTGGAACAGAGAGTAGAATAACCAGCTTATCTAAAACACGTTCTACTGCTGTCAGCTTTGCTCAGATCATTAAAGTCTCAGTAGAAATCAGTGCAGCTGTGCAGGCTGGTGTGAGTTTCTGCAGTAACAGGATTTCTGTTGGAGATCCTGTTGCAGAAGATCATTAACTTAAGCCTCTTTCTGTCCTTTTCTCTCCTTCATTCATCAACAGCTTTTCTGAATGGATACTGAGTTTATTCAGTGTAGCAGCTGCTCTGTATCTGTTCTTTTATCCTATCATGTTGTTTAGTGAGCTGGTTATGTCACACTAAAAACTTGTGCCACTAGAGTTAATACAAGAATTGTAGATTAACTTCAAGTAGAGTTATAAACTTTATTAAAAGTGCTAAGTTGCTAAAACAAGTTAAAGAGTGAGATTAGACAAGAAATAATAGCAGTTAGAAAAAAACAGAACATGTAAAAAAGAGAAATATGCATGTTGAAAATACAGAAGCAGCTTCACAAGAATCAAACAGCTTCAAGAGAAATATATTTATGAATGAACCAAAACTCAAATAAATTACACCTCTTTCACCATGTTATCTACAATGAACAGACTGATTATACAGTTAATTATGGTGAAGACCCCAAACCGGGACTTATTATCAAAATATATATGAGTCAATGTGCTGCTCAGGTGGGTCTTCAAAGTTAAATGAATGTGTTTTTTCACAGAGTTTTCAGAAGAAGCCAAACATTATAAAGATAAAGTGAGCATTTTAACTGAGAAAAATACACAGATTATGGAGAAAGACAAACAAATTCAAGAGAAAGAAAAACTTCTGACAATAAACACATAGACACTTCAGATGAAGGACAAGATGCTGGAAGAGAAAGAAACACTTCTCACAGAGACAAAACAAAAACTGGAACAAATTACCAAAGAGACTCAGATACAGCTTAAAAATAAAGACGCACAACTGGAGAATCAGATCAAACTGCTGGGAGAGAAAGAGACTCTACTGGAGATCACAGTGAAAGAGGTGGAAAGCAGTAAAAAGCAGCTGGAGACTCTGAGAAAGGAGCTGCAGGACAAGAGCAGCAAACTACAGGAGATGATGATCCTACTGGAACAACAGAAAACTGAACTCACCCGTCAGCAGAAAGAGTTAGAAGAGAAAGAACAACAACTGAAACACACAGGTAAGAATTTAAGACACAGACTGATTGTAAAATATCTGACTGATAAATTAATATTCTGTCTTTATCATTTCAGCACAACAGAATTCTGACCTACAGACTGAAACTGAAACACTAACAACTCTCATTTCATCACAGACGACTGGTGAGCTTTCAGGTTTAACCTCAGCTGTTTCAGTCTTTATTAACTGTGTTAATTAATGTGGTTTAATAATCATTAACATACACTACCAGTCAAAAGTTTGGAAAATGGCCATTACGGGTCAACTGATATGTTTCCAGGGGTATCATCAATTATTAGTAATCAAGGATAATAATAATAAACAATATTTAGGGCTGGTGCTCATAGAGTGAGAACTGATAAGAACGCCTCTCTTATTCACAACTTACATTAAATGCACATTAAAACCTTAAGTAAAATAAAGCGCTTTGAGCTTTAGACAGTAAATGCTTCAAAAATAGCAACCTAAACATTTTAAACTTATCTTTAAGACAATAAACAGATTAAAAAAACTTAGACAGTTCTCAATGCCTTTTAATAGTCAGTAACATTTGAAAGAAAAGTGGAGCTCAAAAAGGTGCTAACTTTAAATTTCAAAATTATACAAACAGATTATATTTACACAATTTTGTATTTAATGGATATGTAGTATGAGTCACTGACAGAACCTGACAAAGAAATTATATTTAATTTATTTATTATGATTTTACAAATAATGTAATGCTTTCTGGAGGCTTGTCTGTATAGTTGGCTCACTGAAGCTCCACTGTAGACCCTCACATTCTGAACATGTTCAAACTGCTACAGATCAGTTTGTCTGCTCCACACACAGAAACCTCACTCTCACCAACCAGCATTGTAGTGTGATGTTTTATTCAGGGCTCGAGCTGCACGAGTAACGTTTGTCTGACTACAGTGAGCAAATTATATGACTGAGTGAATTCAGCTTTTTCCATCTATGCTGTTCAACCGTGACATATTTTACCGTTTCCTCTCGCTGTGGGAGCGAAGCAGACGCTGCTTCATTCCCCTCCTGCATCTCTCACAAAACTGAAAAGCGTGTTTATTTGGATTTACTCGACAAGGGGCGGAACACAGAGACAGTCTACAGAAGTGCTGGCTGGTTGTCTGTGATGAGTCATCACATTTCAAACAATCCAGTAATGCTGTGGGTGGGTCATTGGGCCGGATTACAGAAGTGTGCTTTGTTGATTGTGGTTGCGTCAGATATGCAGATTAAAATAACAAAAGGCCCTTTTATCTGCAAAAAGCAGGTTCATATGCTTATTCTGATAATCGGAAAATGCTGAAAATTGGCTCTGATCATTAGTGGGGTTGAAAATCGATCAATGGACATATGTGTACCTGCTTCGGTTCTGCTGTAAAAGTATCCAGGAGCAGAGATTTTTTAGTGAGGAGAACTGCCACTTAATGTTGTGCGGGTCTGTCAGATGCTGGAGGGCCTCTCAAGACAGACCAAAGTGAAAAGGCTCTTATGAAGCTTTTATAAATGCTTAGTGAATTTTATACGTAAAATGCACTCGTTTTCACAACATAAAATAGCATGAAAAACTTCAACACTGCTGTTATTTTTCTGAGGTCTACTGAGATCCAGATATAGAAATTTTTAACAGTGTCTTATGATCATTCCTGATGTCAGTGAGCATTAAATGCCTTACTCAGCCAGCGAGCTGATCAGCTTACCAACCAATCAGCACTCAGTATCAGTAATGCTAGTGTCCTAGTGTCCTAGTTATTATTTTTATTTATTTTTTTTTTATTTATTTTTTTTAAAGCTGAGTTTTCTTTAATTTTTTTAAGAAATACCATTTTTTAAAATGTACTTACCCACATAAGTTCCCACATTAATGGGAAGAAACATATTCAAATTTTTTATTTTAGCCATTCCACTCCATTCACTCGCGTTTATTGAGGTATCTATAAGGGCGCCCTCTAGTGTTCTGCAGTCATGTTTTTGATATAATGGGAGTAATATCAACTGGTCATAAGATCTATTCCATGTTAGTGTTTTCTTACCACTTAATAAATTCACACTCCCGTTAAATCTCAGTATTGTGTATCTGTCAACATGGTCCATTGTGAAATCAGAGAGACTGAATTTCTATTTTCTTACAGATTTAACTGAAAAGACCACACAGCTTGAAAAAACAAAAAACATTCTATCTGAGAGAGACAGACAGCTAAGGGAGAGAGATAAACAAGTGGAGGAGAAAGACAGACTTCTGACAGAAAATACAACAACAGTTCAGATGAAGGAGAAGATTTTAGAAGAGAAAGACAAACTTCTCACAGAGACACAAGATGAACTGAGACAAACAACAAAGACATTAGAGAATCATAGAATACAGATGGAAGAAATGGAGAAAAGACTTGTGGAGAAAGATGAAGAATTAAAAGAGAAAAAACAAGAACTGAAAGATAAAAACACGATTATAAAAGAACATTTAGAGACTGTTGATAAGAGAGATTCATTATTAAAGGAAACTAATGAAAGATTAGAAAGTGTTAATAAACAGCTTAAAGATAAAGACTCACAACTGGAGAATCAGATCAAACTGCTGAGAGAGAAAGAGACTCTACTGGAGATCACAGTGAAAGAGGTGGAAAGCAGTAAAAAGCAGCTGGAGACTCTGAGAAAGGAACTGCAGGACAAGAGCAGCAAACTACAGGAGATGATGATCCTACTGGACCAACAGAAAACTGACGTGAGTGAAAAAGACAAACAGCTTGAAGAGAAGGAGAGACTTGTGAGAGAAACACACAGCTAATGGAAAGTGACAAGCAGGTTGAGGAGAAAGACAGACTTCTAGAGGAGAGAAACAAGCAGCTGCAGGAGAGAACAGATCCAGACTCAGCAGCTCCAGCCAGGAGGAGAAACAGCAAAGAGATTAAACCTCCAGAATGTAAGTAACTATTAAGACTGCATAAAGCTACAACATATATCACTATGAAACACTAACTACACACTGGAGGTGTTACTTTTGAATGTATGAGTGGACTTCAGAAAATGTTTTTGCTTTATGTTGTGCAGTGTTATATGAGTTTAGTGATAACATATGCATATGTGTGCTTCAGAAAATGGGTTTGAATCCAAGTCAATTGCTCTATGATATGCACTTTTATTTATGATCACATCAAAGTTTTGTGATAAAATCAAAGTATTAAACAGCAACAGTATAACCTGTATGTGAATTTCATGAACTATACTATCTATGTCCGATTCTTGTATTTCCTAGTCAGTGAAGAGACTCCAGACTCAGCAGCACAACTCAGGAGAAGAAACAGTATTGAAGGACTTCCTCCAAAATGTATATAATTACACTTTCATATGTTTATTTTATAAATATTCAGAGAATTATATCCACATACACTAACATAATTTCTTTATTCTTTTTTATTCATAGTGAGTGGAGAATCCTCTAGTTCAGCCTCTCCAGGGTCAGTTCCTGTATCAGAGCTCAGGCTGGTGCTGCTGGGGAGGACTGGATGTGGGAAGAGAGCAGCAGGAAACACCATCCTGGGCAGAGAGGAGAGGAGCCAGGCTGGAGCGTCTACAGTGAGGCAGCAGAGTGAGAGCAGACAGGGGGAGGTGGCTGGGAGGCAGGTGACTGTGGTGGACACTCCTGACTGGTTCTGTCCTGGACTTTCTCTGGAGGAGCTGAGACAGGACGTTGGACTCTGTGTCCGTCTGTCTGCCCCAGGACCCCATGCCTTCCTCCTAGTCATACCAGTGAAGCAGTCTACAGGAGAGGAGAGAGGCATGCTGGAGAAAATGGAGGAGATTTTTGGAGAGAGATGTTGGAGGAACACCATGATCCTTTTCATTGTTACTGATGAAGTCCAAGAGAAGAACATTGAAGAGTTTATCCAGTCAGGGAACCAGGAGGTCCAGAGACTTGTAGAGAAATGTGGGAACAGGTTTCACTGTCTCAGCATTAAGGAGAGTGGAGATGGTTCTCAAATCTCAGAGCTGCTGGAGAAGATAGAGAAGATGGTGGAAGAAAACAGAGAGGAATTCTACAGCAGTGAGATCTACCTGGAGACAGAATCTCAGATCAGAGCAATGAAGACAAAGATCATGAAAGAAAGAGAAGAAAGAAGGATGATAGAAGAGAGAGAAATGAAAGAAAAATTAGAAAAGGAGGTGCGGAACTCTTTGAGAAAGATAGAGGGAGCGGTACAAGAGCATGAAGGAGAGATAAAACAACTGAATGACCGAACAACTGAGCTAGAGAGAAGGATGAAAGAAGAGAGGGATGAAGAGAAAAAGAAAGAATTGGAACGAGAGCTGGAAAGAGAGTTCGAGAGAAGGACAGAAATGGAAGAAAAGGTGAAGAGACTAAAAGAAAAGAGAGAGAAGGAGAGGAGAGAGATGGAGGAGAGACACAGACAGGAGATGGAGGAGATCAGGGAGTCGTATGAAGGAGAAGCCAGAATGGAGGCAGAGAGGAACCTCATGAAGATCATCCTGCCTGAACTCCAGAGAAACATTTTGATATCAAAGTTAAAGATGCAGGAAGAGCTCAGCAGACAGATGGAGGAGAAGGACAGAGAGCTGGAGACACTGAGACTCAGAGTGAGAGAACTTAGGAGGAGGTCCATAAATATATAGGAGGAGCTGCTCAGGAACAGAAGGAGGTCAGTAGGAGACTCTCAACATGCTGAGAGAGCTTCTCTACTGCTGGACATACAGACTGGATGGGTGGGTTTACACGCTGCCTGTTACTGTTACAGTGTTGTTTATTTAGTAGTGATGGTGTGTAGATGTTGTGAAGGACAACTCCTTTGACACTGTGTTGCTAGTAAAATGTTTATTACAAAGTAAAACAGCATCATATCAAGCACTATAAAGTACCTGAGAGAGGATCCGTGCCAATTCTAAATGTCCTCTCTCGAACAGAATGACCAACAGCATATATATATGGTTCTTGTTGTTAAAACAGGAGACAGAACATATGGTTCTTTTTAAAATGATCTCATCTATTTGGAACTAAGAAGAAGAAAGAAAGTGAGAGGCCCACTTCCTATGGACCTTTAAATTGAGAGGGCTATGGACCCAGGGGCCCCCCTGGTTCAAACATTCCTATCCCCTGCACAAAAAGAGCACACAGGGCACTCCTAGATACTTGGAACTTCAGACATCAGCTTATACTCAATGTTATGAGTGTTTTTACCTTCTTCTATCAAAAGGTTCCTTTTTAAATATACTTCAACAGTAAATCTGCTGATGTCATATTTTGTTTACATAGTGTTTCTATTATTCATAACACAAGATCCAGAACACACTGCTTCTGTCAGCTTCTGACACTCTGTGTCCTTATGTCACATCAGTTACACTAGTTTAAAGGTTTTGTGAAAGATAACTGTTCACTGTTTGTCTAATGGGTGTGAGAAAGTAAAATGTATCACTCTTAAATGAGTGATCTGAAAACTAAAGTTCTTGCACAATGAAGTCTGGACTTCACTATTTCTAGAATAGTCCAGCAGGTCTCAAATGCTCAAATGCTGTGCACTGAAACACGAAAGCAGTAAATGGATACAGTGTTTTAATGTAATTGTGCTGTACACTAATGATACTGGACACTAATCAGGTAACTCACTCAGTGACTGTGTTTCTTACTGTCTTTTGTGAGCTTTGGTTTCATACTAGTAGGTGCTCTTCTTCAATGTGCATTTAATGCATTTATGATTATTGCTCAATGCACTTGTTCATAATCAAGTTATATTTTCTGGAACATTATAATATATATATATATATATTTATATATATATATATATATATATATATAACATCAAGTTATATTTTATATTCTTGGAACAAAACCTCTTATCTCCATTTTTGTCATTTTTAATTGTTTACCATAATTGAACATGCCAGTTGCATTGACAGTACATCGATAAGTATACTTCATACTCTAAAGTTATCAAAAATTACTAAAAGTTTTGTTCCAACAGCAAAGATTGTTATTTTGTATACAATAGATTAAGGGTTAATACTTGAATGTCCATTAAAAGCGTAAGCTAATACTCTTCAGCTTAAGTATATTCATGGGGGATAAGGTATATTTAATGAACTAAACAAAATTCTTGGGATGTGTCTTCATTGTTCTGTTTTTGTGTGAATGTGTATGACTGGACATACTATTTTAATTTGGTTTTAAAACACATTTAAAACTTCTGTTACACTTGTACCTTTTTTACTTTTTCTTTAGAAATTTTATATTCATGAGGGATGCAATTTTTCTTTAAGACATTTCTGCAACAAATTAGTGCCAAATAAACTGAACTGAGAAAAACACTCGATAGAGCAGTTGTCAGTGTGGCTACACACAGTGCTTCTGTTCAAGTAAGAGATGTACATCTGCACTTTAATTTTCCAAGACCAAATCACTGACCTGAATCATGTGATCATGAGAAAACAGCAGAGAGGCATCAGATCTCAGGTCTCTTTCTCTGTGGAGGAAACACTGTTAGAACTCTGCTTCCACCTCCTGGACTAACAAAGCAACAGCAGCAGTACATTAATGAAAAATCTCAATGTTAGAAGGAAAAATCATCACAAAAGCACTGCTGAGAAATGCACAACACAAACACTAAATCTTCTTTATTATCTTTTATACTCACAGTTTTCACTTACAAGCACACATTTAACTGCATATCAGATGCCTGAAACTCACAGTGCTCTGCTGAGATGAGGATGATGATGGTCAGTAAGACAGAGATGAGAACTAACAGCAGAAACATCATCATCCTCCTTTGTAAGATCAGTTATCAACATAATATCCCAGTAAATGATCATTACCTGCAAAAACATTCATTTTATTTACAGTTAATTACTAAAGATTGAGCAGATTGTAATCAGCAAATATCACTGTTTAACAGATAAACTAGTATTTAAGTATCTTCTCTTAAATATGTAAATGCAAGAGAAAGTTAAAGATTATGTTGACAGTATTTTTAAAACATTGTGAGCATGTAGAAGGATTGCATGGCATAAATCAGAAGCTGATTACAGACTAATTTACCCAGCATGCTTTGATTATATCTAATAAGCAGTTAATCAAAGTCAGTATAACTTCATTAGGATGAGAAGCAGTATTATTTTAGAAACCAAGAGATCATAAAAAAGTTAGCTGAGGCTTTTGATGTGAATGTCTTTAAATATTGTGAAATGGCAGCATTAAAGTGAAATGACTGCAGGGATTTATTCAGTTTTTTATTTATTTATTTATTTATTTATTCATTTATTCATGTTGGTGTGCAGTTCCCTTTTACACCATACATAGTGCTGTTTGTTCTTCTTAAACAATTCAACCCTCAGTCCACAAAACACTTACCCCAGTAGTGTTTTGGAGTGCCGACGTGCTTTTTGGCAAACTTAAGACATGCAGCGGCATTTTGGAGAGCAGCAGCTTCGTCCATGGTTTTCTGCCATGGACAAAATACCTCCTCTATGCTTTTTGTATAGTAGACTCATGAGCAGAGATGTTAACCAATTCAAATGATTCTGACAAGCCTTTACCTGATACTGTACAGTTCTTTTTTATTTCATTGAGATTCTTTGTGTCTTTGGAGTGATTTTGGCTGGGTGCCCACATCTAGGGAGGGTAGACACAGCACTAAATTATTTCCATTTAAAGACAGTATGTTTAACTGTAGACTGATGAACACCTAAACTCTGTGAGGTTACTTTGTAACCCTTTCCAGCTTTATGGAAATAAACAGTTACCGATCATAGGACTTCTGAGATCTCTGTCTTGTGAGACAGAACAGTAGCTCTAACCCTCAACTCAAATCTCATTTCTTTGATTGGAATCTGATTAGTCATTAGTATTGGGGTTTACATACGTTTTTCAGCCTTTACTGAAAATGTTGAAGTGATGTATTCAGTATGGACCAGAACAATACATTATTTTTGTGATTCATTTAAACTGTATTTGTTCTTTATTGTAATTTAGATGAAGACCAGAGCTTATTTTAAACTGTCTATATACATAAAAGCAGATAATTCCAAAAGGCTCACATACTTTTCTTGGCACTGTATAACTCTGTAACAATATATACTGTTTTTCATCCAACCAATCATATTTTAAACAATACAAGAGAGGCTGATTCTATTTGATATTTCCTTTCTTTATACATCCTTATTTATTAAACATTGTAATTTGTCAACACACTATTCATGTGTTTGGTGGAACCAGACTAATTTTAACTTATGGCCACACCCATAATGATGATGAGAGACAGTAACAGGTTTTAAGTTCCACTCTGGCCAAAGGATGATTTATGTCTCCCGTCAGAAGAAGAGCTGCAGAGTCGTATTATATAAAAGAGGAGGACATTTATTTCCCCAAAATGAAGGAGAATGTTTAAATCTGTGAATGACATTCTTTTCAAAGAGTTTTTAAAATACAGATTTAATATGGATTTGAGTGCTTACACTTTCTGTAAAACACACATGGGGTCAGTTTAAAAACTTGTTTATTATTGTAATTTGTCACAAAAAATACCTTGTCCCAAGTGATCACATGTGAAGTTGAAGATATTTGACACTAAATAAAGTTATATAAAATATGGTATTTAATGGCTGAAAGTAAGATTGAATACTTCTGTCATAATAAGTGTGGGTGAAATGTTCTATACATCCAATATAGCCTAAAATAAAATGCTAAGATATTACTTAAATGTGGAATTTTTAATGTTGGTTCAAATCCTTTAAAAGAGTGTATCAAACCCAACACTGTTTAATGTCTGCTGGTTCCACTCAGTCCACTCTGTACAAATTCCACCACTGATGTTATAGAATTGAGATGATCAGAGAGCAGAATTATGAACAAGGTTTCTAACGTCTTCTTTCTGACATTAAATCATCGCAGTGTGTGTTCAAATGATCTTCACCCAATAATCTCAGTATTATGATCTATTTGAATTGATGAGCATCTGTTGAGTCTCTTTATCTGTGATATCAGTCAGAAACACAGAGTCAGCAGCAGGAGATGCTAACAGCTGCAGCTAACAGAAGGAGAGAGAGTTACATATTAACTACTGATGAACTTCAGACCCACAAACTTCTTCAGAGAGCAAACATCACCTTCAGGTATTGATCCTAAAGCTGGACATTAGAGCAGTTATTTTCACAGATAAATGGATTATTATTTAGTCTGAACTGAAACTATGAGGAGGGAGAAAGTACAGTCGGTGCTGCTGGAGCTCAGTGTGGTTCATTTACCTCAGTGACTGAAGCTGAATGTAGTTTAATCTGCTTCCAGGACAGGAATTTTACTACACGGAGGTTCTCATTTAATCAGGAAGTAAAAGTAGAATAGAAGCTCTTAACTTCTACTAAATGATGATTTGTTGTTACAACAGCTTTTTCTGAAACATGGACCCATTTCATCTGAGGAGGAGGAAGATAATGAAGAGTAACTAAGGTAAGAAAATCAGCATCACGCTAAAGCAGATGCTAATTGTTTATAGGATGGTTTTAATATAACAAATAAGCTACAGAGTGAGTGTTTGAACAATGAGCTTTAAACTCATATTTATCAGATATTTCTGAATGTGAATAGCTGAGTTAGAGGAGGCTTTTAAGAGTAAACTGTGCATTTATATTGACCTTTGACCCCACAGTTGATGCTCATGAGTGTGAATGAATGTATTCAGTTTGTTTAATGCTGTTTGTAAAGGTCTCTCTGTCTCACAGTAAAGAGTGTTAGTGAATCTGCTTCTGGCCTTTTGTGCAGCAGAGTTCTGCTTTTTATTGTACTCATTTATTTGGCTTTTTGTGCAAACATTTATCCTATTTATGCTATTACCTTTCATACATAAAAATGCAGGTCAAAGTGCTTCGCAGAATACAATAACATTAAAAGATTATGTTTGTCCAATAAAAATAAATAGAAATAGAAACAGAGAAAACAAGAGAGCATTAAACAAACTAGGTATGATAATGAAAGTTGATTAAAAATAAAAGTTAAAACAATAAGATTAGAATAAATGAACTGTATGTAAAAAATATCAACTAATAAAACGTAATACAAATGTCTTCAGAGGTTTTTTTTTTTCTTTGTTTATTTTTTTAAAGAGGGAAGTAGTTTGACAGATTTTATTGGTGTGACACACTGCTAGGAAAAAAAATAGCACAACTGTAATAAAATGATAGAAAAAGTGATGCGTTGATTTTTCTGTGTACATAACTAAATCTATCTATAATTTATAATTTATAATTTATAATTTATAATTTCCATAATGCATCTCTTCTTTCAGTGCACAAAATTAACTGTAAGAGAAACATTTCATGCAGACGGGCCAAGTTATTCATAGCCTACAACACGTGCATGAATTCACCTGTAAAAAGTAAATAGTGTGATAAACACAGAGCAGCACTGCTGAAGAGACTCAGCGCACATCCACTCACCTGTGTGCTCTGCAATTTAGTCTTTCACATCAAGATCATTATTAAATACAGCATCATCAGACTATTAGAACTGACTGATAACTACCCTGACAGCAGGTTTTCACCATAACATGTCACCGTTCACACAGAGTAACTGCTTTATTAATGGCTGGCCATCTCACTTTCCATAACTGGGGCGCCATGTTTTATGCTAGCCACACTTCGGCTATATGTCTGTTTTTAAAACTAGTAAAGATAAGTGTCTGATAAATACTAATGAATAAAGAGTTTCATGTCCAGTCTAATCTCTCTCTCTCTCCCTCTCTCTCTCTCTCTCTCTCTCTCTCTCACACACACACACACACACACACACATTAAATATGCTTTCTTGGCGTAACAGGATATCAGACAGGAATCAGAAGTGCTGATTATATAAGATATGCTATGTTTTTTTTCTCTCTGCTCTTATGGCAGCTATGAATAAATTGATGTGTGTAAGGTGGAAACTTTGTCAGTAAATCTTGGCAGAAAGGGTTTATATTTTGAACATGAAGGAACAAAGTGATTCTCAGTTTCTGTCTCTCCTGACGGGCAGTGGGTGCAGAACCTGTTCTCTCTGTCTAGCCTGCTTTTTCTGTGTCGTTTTATTTCAGTGGCCAGTTTTTGTCCAGTGCAGAGTATAATCTACTCTGTTATTGTCTTCAGTCTCTCTCAGTGTAGAGGTGGTGCTGAGGTGCTGGTTTCCCCTCTGTTTTTTTCTTCTTGTCTAGTTGGTTTAGCAGGTGGTTTGGTTTTGTTCTGTTACTGATGAAGTCTCTGTAGTGAAGGGAGCCTGAATCTGATTAGTTGAGGTGGTACCAGAATTTACAGCATCTTTTCTCAATGTCCAGAATGAGTGGACATCTGACCAGCTCTGCTTTACTGGCCAAATTAGAAATACCTCTGTTCACCTGCAGGATGTCTTTGCGGAATCCTAGATCAAAGAATTATGTGGGTGTTTGTCCCAAATTTCATTTTTTTACTACTTTTTTCCCCAGATCTCACTGCCATATTACATTATTGGTTTGATTATTGACTTGAATAATTTGAATAACGCCCACATTGCAGTGGGTGGACTGAACTTAGAAATTGTTTTTCTGAACATATAATAAGATTGACATGATTTTATTGTCTGTGATGTAATTGCTGATTTAAAAATTCCTTCTGAATTTATATATCATGCCTAAAAACAGTAATTGTTGGTGTTTTCTTTTGAAAAATAATTACTTTTGTTTTCTCCATATTTACCGTAAGGATTCAATTTGTACAGTAAGTCTCTAGTATTGATGTTCTGTTCTGTTGAAGAGCATCTTTTGTTGGTGCTAATATTACTAAATCATTTGTATACATTATATTTTCAGAGATGAGTCCAGGAATAGCTGAATTTTGTAATTTGATCATTTATATATCCCTTAAATAAAGCCTTGCTAAATAAACTGCAGCCTTGCTTTACTCCTTAATTTTGTTTAACATATTCTATACTTTTTGTGTCAAACTTTACACAGCATTGTGTATATTGTTATATATTGTTTTTATTAGATTGTATACTTTACCTTCAACATCGCTGTTTTATTGATTTATAGATTAATACTTTGTGCCAAACAGAGTTATGTCCACAAAACAGGCACAGATTTTTCCTCTTGATTTGTTGTGGACATGATGGTTTTTTATAGGGTTTGGATGGTGTATACAGTGTATATAAGAAGTCTACACACCCCTGTTTAAATGCCAGGTTTTTGTCATGTAAAAAAACAGACCAAGATGAATAATTTCAGATTTATTTTCACCTTCAATGTGCCTCATAATCTGTACAATTCTATTGAAAAACAAACTGAAATCCTTTAGAGGGGGGAAAATAAAAATAAAGAACTAAAATAATGTGGTTGCATAAGTGTGAACACCCTCTTCTAATTGAGGATGTTGTTGTGCTCAGAAATAGCCAATCACATTTAAACTCATGTTAAATAGTAGTCAGTACACAGCTGCCATCATTTAAAGTGATTCTGAGAAACCCCATGTAAAGTTCAGCTGTTCTAGTAGGACTTTCCTAACATTTTCTTAGTTGCATTTTACAGCAAAAGCCATGGTCTGTAAAGAGCTTACAACACATCAAAAAGATCTGGTAGTTGAAAGGTATCAGTCAGGAGAAGGGTATAAAACATTTCCAAGGCATTAGATATACCATGGAACACAGTGAAGACAGTCATAAAGAAGTGGATTAAATTTGGCACAACAGCGACAATACCAAGAACTGGACATCCCTCAAAAATTGAAGAAAAGACAAGAAGAAAAATGGACCGGGAGGCTGCCAAGAGGCCTACAGCAACATTAAAGGATCTACCGTATTCTTCCATTGATATAGTGAAGACTAAAGTTGCCTGGTTGGAATAAGGTTTTGTGACAGTATGCTGTTAAGGCAAGAGCCTCACACTTATACCAGTTTATTTTGTATCCAGAGAGTCTAGAAAATGCGTTGATAACATATAACAAAACAGAGATGGAAGTCTCTGGGTTGTGCAAAAGGTCAAGACATCATCTGCATAAAGCATCACCTTATGCAATGTGGGCCCAAGACCTCTAGATCTACACTAGAAGATTCTACACTCACTGTGAATCAACAACAATGAGGCATTTAATCTCTTATTGTGTGATGGTGATTATTACATTTAAATAAATATTTAAGGTAGTATAGACAATCAGTGGAATCATTTAGTATTTGGACGATCTCCCTTCATACTCTCTCTTCACCTGAGTGGTGCTGCAGATTCTAGAGTCTCTCCACTCACTGTGAAACAGATTATGTTTTCACTTTATTTGCTGAAGAAACACAAGTCCCTCCATCTTGTTGATTGTGTTTTTTGCCTTCTGGTTTAGCATTTAACGCTAAAAATGTTCTATGATATAGTTATGAAATTATGTACACATAAACTTTGTTTTAATATTAGTCTGTTAACCCTTTAATTATATTTGGACCACCTGTTATACACACGTTCTCAGTTCTCATATTCTAGAAAGGTTGCTCTTTAAAGGGACGTTCTTCCCATGAACACAAGTCTGTTCTTCTTGTTCTGGTAGATGAAACACTCACTGTTTTCTAATAGCGGTCAGCATGAACCAGAAATAAAAAGACAAAAATCAGAAGAGCTGCTGCTTTTAAATAGGCACAGCTGAATAAGATATATAGTTTTTAGGAGTTTATGTCATGAAATGTATCAATAAGAGTTTAACATTTTGCTGTTTAATGTTTTGCTGATCTCACCAACTACTAAACTCTTATAGAACTACACTTTACAGCAAAGTTGACAATTGTTATATTTGTTTGAATTCATATTAAATCATATTTTTCTGGAATATGCATCTGTATTTTAATTTGTTAGACACCTACAGTGTGTGATCACATAACAATGTACACACTTTATACTTTTATATTTTACAGAATTTCATTTTCAGCATCTTCATTCAACCATATTAGTCTAATCTCTTTGCTGTTTCTCCTCCTGGCTGGAACTGCTGAGTCTGGATCTGTTCTCTCCTGCAGCTGCTTGTTTCATAAATGTCTAAAGCCTTGAACTCTTGAAAATAAAGCCAAATTGTTATTGTCACAAATTGGTTGTCTGTGTGACTTGGGGAACCGGGAGGGCACGGAGGTCTCTTTATTTTTATGTTGCAGCCTGACCTAGCCGGGTCGTAACACTAGTGAAATCTAGGATTGTTTATGAATTTAAGTTCTATAAAGCAACAAACAACCTAGAGGTATTTGAATTTGAATGGTGCTGTAAAGATGTTTTCTGCACTGTGGTGGAGGGTGAGTTAGTTAGGGCTAATATTGTTTAAGGGGCAGTCATATTATGTGTGAAGCATTTGTGTATATGATTTGAAGTGACCGAGTAAAAGTCTCTTTGCAAAATCAATCAATTTCTCTCTCTCTCTCTCTCTCTCTCTCTCTCTCTCTCTCTCTGTAGGATTGTATTAGTGTGAATCTGTAGGAGGAGATAGAGATAAAAATGGCGGCTGCAAGAAACAGTAAGTTAAACTTCCAGAACCTACAAAAGGTTTTACTGTGAACATCATTAAATAATATTCAATCAGAGAGTTTATTTTTATTGTGGAGACACACGAGACACAACTATTAATGTGTGTGTTTATGTGTGTGTGTGTGTGTGTGTGTGTGTTTGTGTTTCTACACAGATGAGTTTAAACTCTTTGGACCTCGTGTTGAAGAGCGTCAGTCTCCCTCTGCGGTCACTCTCTCCTGTCACCTGTCTCCTGAAATCAGTGCTGTTTCCATGGAGATCAGGTGGTTTAAGGGGACGGACTGTGTTTGTCTCTATAAGAACAGGCAGGTGACAGAGGGGAGGGGCTACGAGGGCAGAGTGAGTCTGTTCACTCAGGAGCTGCAGAGAGGAAATGTCTCCTTACAGATCAGAGACTGTAGAGAGGCAGATTTAGGACATTACTTGTGTCAGGTCACCAATGGAGACACAACAGAGGAGTGTACAGTAGGAATGTGGGGTAAGTATTCCAGAAGTTCACTCTACATAAACTCATCATCATCACCAGCATCATCATCATCATCATCAGCATCTCAGAATGAAAGATGAAGAGACAGAAATGAGAAACACAGATGTTCAGAATGGTGTTGTGTTCAGATAAAGGAGGTAAAACATACAGAGGATAAATGATGTTCATGTGGAGTGAAGGACAGATGGAGCATTTCAGTAGAAAAAACAGTGACTCTTTCTCATTCTGACTCTAAACCTCCACATCATGACTGCACAGCGGAAAACTTACAACTGCAATGGTTCAAGGGTTGATTTTTCACACACAATATATATGAATTATTAAAATATTATATTTAATGTGACGTCACTGCTGACTCACTCTTACAAAAAATTATATTCTTAACTAATTAAAGCTGCAGATCCACAAACTATAGACACAAAATGGGCGTGTTCAGAGTTGAGCTGCGCGTAGTGAGGAGATAAAACCGATCTTTATTCTCACTTCAGTCGTATCTGTGGACTCGCGCGCTGTTCAGACTCGTTGCGCGCGGGGCGGAGTTCACTAATAAAGAGGCGAGTCTCAGTTCTCCGATTCAGACCCTGAACTTCAGCTCATTTCTCTTGAGCGATGTCCACTCCCGCCAGGAGCTGTATTAAGACCAGCGCCCCCGTCTGAACATTTAATGTAACCACAATATTTCAAACTGAAATTCATGTCTTTGAGTGTAAAATACAAGCAAACTAACTGAGGCCAATTTAAATAGAAATATCATGGAAATTAATGAAAACATTTAACAAAACAAAATAAATAAAAGCAAAAAGCTTCATTTATTTAATGAAATGAAGTAAAGTTTGAGTTTAAACTCTAAATCAGTTTAGTTCAGTTCTAAATCATCTTAAATGTTGAGATCACTGAACTGAGCTGAATAATAATAAATAATTATCTAGAAATGTATATATAGGTTTAATATTATATTATATTGTTAACAAAAGTATCATTATTACATTAACAAATACTCTTTATTTCTTTTATTCCCATGCTTATGATAATTAATAATAATAATAATAATAATAATAATAATAATAATAATAATAATAATGTAAAGCGAGGAAAAGCTCCCGTTCACTTTTTTATTTCCTGATTAAATAACCCCAGTTATTATATTATAAACCCATTTCCAAAAAAGTTGTTTTGCTGTGCAAAATGTAAATAAAAACAGAATGCAATGATGTGTAAATCATTTAAACCCTAAATTTCACTGAAAATAGTACAAAGACAACAAATTAAATGTTGAAACTGAGAAATTTTAGTTTTTTAAAACATATGCCCATTTTGAATTTGATGCCAACCACACTTTCCAAAAAAGTTGGGAAGAGGGCAACAAAAGGCTGGTAAAGAAGCTTCTCAAGTTAAAACAGCATAGAACTTTTGCTTTTCATCATCTACAGTACATAATCGTCATTAAAAGATTCAGAGAATCTGGAGAAATCTCTGCATGCAAGGAACAAGGCCGAAAACCAGCATTTGCTGGCCGTGATCTTTGGGCCCTCAGGTGGCACTGCATTAAAAAAAAGACATGATTCTGTAGTGGAAATCACTGCATGGACTCAGGAACACTTCTGAGATCCACCGTCTGTAAACACAGTTCGTCACTGCATCCACAAATGCAAGTTAAAACTCTAAAACACAAAGAAGAAACTGTACATACACAAACACTGCCACCTTCTCCGGGCCTGAGCTCATTTAAAATGGACTGAGGGGAAGTGGAAAATGTCCTGTGGTCTGATAAATCAACATTTGAAATTCTTTTTGGAAATCATGGACACTGTGTCCTTGGGGCTAAAGACCACTCAGCTTCCTATCAGTGCACAGTTTAAAAGCCAGTATTCATTATGTTATAGGGGTGCATTAGTGCGTATGGAATGGATGACGTGCACATCTGTGAAGGCGCCATTAATACTGAACAATATATACATGTTTTGGCAACATATGCTGCCATCCAGAGAACATTTTTTCAGGGAAGGCCTTGCTTATTTCAGCAAGACAATGTAAAACCACATTCTGCATGTATTACAGCAGCATGGCTCCGTATTGAAGGAGTCCAGGTACTAAACTGACCTGCCTGCAGTCCAGACCTGTCACCACTGACAAAACTACAGCAGTCGGTCTCCTCAGCTCCCAAACGCTTACAGAGTGTGGTTAAAAGAAGAGGTGATGAAACACAGGGGTAAACATGTCCACTGTCCCAACTTTTTTGGAAATGGGGTTGTAGTTAATCTGTCTGTTCATTCTGTAAATGTACTTTATCTGATTTTAACTGCTGCAGGAATAAAAACAATTCCTTCTCATGTTTGTTCATCAGTAATGAATCATAACACATTATTAATTACTGATAATTACTGTATTAGTTCATGAGTTGTTGATGCATAATTACTAGTTTACTAAGGAACCTTATTGTAAAGTGTCACCAATCATTTCTATAAGGGTTGAGTTTCTGCTGTAGGTTTACACTTTAACTGTTTAGCTGAACGTCTTCATGGAGTTGTACTGAAAGCATTGAGTGACAGTTCAGTAGTGAAGGATGAAGAACTACAGTACAGATGAGAAAAGGAGATTCTGATAAGGAGATAAAGAGTTAAAAAGACTGAAATATTATAACTGTAAAAGTGTTTCTCATGGAGATTTGACTAACTTTGTGTTTCCCTCTGTTTTTATTCCACAGTATTTAAGGTAAGTAAATAACTGTGTTTCCTTCTTTCTCTGCTGGTAGTGACTGATTTTATACTCTTATCACATGAACTACATTCAATACAGACATCAAGCAGCTACATAATATTGAGTTTCAGGTAAATTTCACATGATGAACAAAGTCTCTGATCTCAGAATGAAAGCTTTTGACTTCATCTCCCTCCTTCCTTCCCACAATGCTCCTGTGCATAATCCCACTGCACTGCAGAAATGTAGAGACAGTGAAGTTCACTGATGAGAAAAAGACACAACAAATAAAAGCAGTCTGGCTCTGTTGGGAGTGACGTCACTGTTCTTATGTGATGATGGAATATTTGAGTCGTTCCATCATCAGTACATCATTATCATTAGAGTGTCTCTCATTACTGTAGTTTTCCTCTCCTCCATTACTGAAAATAGCCCAGAACACAGACAGCAGGAGCTTCTGACACACACTCACACACACTATCTGCCTGTTTGATGAGTCTCTATGTCAGTGACTCACAACAAGCAGCAAATAATGAAGAGTCAGCAGCTCTGAAAGACTCGATTACTGAGATCCTCTCATCTCCTTCACTTCCATTCACTTCATTTAAGAATAATCAGCTTCTCTTATTCAGTCTGCAGAGTCTCTCTCATCTCCAGCCTGCTCTTCTACTCATGTGCTCCAGTTAAACAGTTCATATTCTCCTCCACTACAAAGCAGCTCCACCTGTGTTCCTTTAGTGTGTGGAGGAGTTCTAGATGGACTGATGAGGCATTTATTCAGTCCACAGTCCTTACAGAGGATGACCCTCACACTGACCAAGCTCCTGCCCTTCAATTACCCTGTGCATAGTTTGGTAGATACACAGTAAAGACTGAATCTTAAAGTATCTGGACTTTTTAAGAGGACAGATCACTTTCTCTCTCACTCAGGGTTTATTACTCACACATTGTCTGAAATATATGACATAAAATAACGAGCACCAGTGTAGTCATTCACTTAAAACCACCATTATGTTTGACTCTCAGTTTTAATTGCTGGTTTACTCAAATCCTCAGGAAGAATAAATTGCCAGTAATGTATGTTTACGATGGACCAGCATAATAAGTGAATGTATTTTGCTAATGAATTCAAGCAGCACAAATTAGATTCCCAGTGGAGATTTTAGTGTGATGTAATCAGAATTTTTTGTCAGTTCAATTGAAACATTCAACACATGAATGCAAGAAAATCTGTTTTTTTTTTATCTCTACACTCTGTTATGAGACAGATAAGAGAGGAGAGAATGAAGAGTGTAAGACACTGAAATAGATATGAGTGTTTAGATTTTTATATATTGATCCTACATGAATGATAAAACTACAATAAATGTTTAGACACAGTTGCTCAGGGTTAGCTCTGTAGTTCAGACCCACACATGCAGAAATCTGATGTAGTTTGTATTCAGCATATTCAGCACATCAAGTGTCAATATTGTTCACTAATTAGTTTCTCTAATTTTCTAATGTTCTCCAGGACAAACTGTATTTCAGTGTCTGTGAGGTGAGTACACTAATTAATATGGATGCATGAAAAAATCACCTTTTGTTTAACATCAGTGTAATGTTTCTGATCTCTGTCTTGGTCACCTTATTACCACCTTTTACCAGAACCTTGATTTGTTGTCAGATGTTCAGTTTTACTCCTGTTAGAAAATCCTGCTCTAACTCTGCTTTAATCTCTTCTTCACCTGAGTTTAAATATTTCAATCAGCTACAATCAGCAGAGTCTCTACTGTTAGTAATATCAGCTCTCAGTGATTCATACTGACACCAACCATCATCACATCTTCACTCTGTTTTATTCTCTTCTACAGAGTGACAGAGAATGGACAGAAGAGGAGAGAATGAAAATAAAGGAATCTCTTCTGCTTATGGGTGAGTTTTAAAGGAGATACAAAATAAAACCTGATGACAGTAAAACCTGTAAAATTCTAATTCTAATGTTTTAATCTAGGCAGGTTTCTCAATACCCTTTCCATTTTTATCATAATGAAAAGATCATTATAATAATTATAGAATGCTGTATTATTAGATTATCACATCTCATATTTTGTGTAATTGCCCATCAGATCTCTCTGCTACAGTTTTAGAGATTATTGTCATTGGACTGTTGTGATAAAGACAGACTGTAAAGGACGTGATGGTTTTGGACTTTGTGGATCTTCTTTCAGTCTTTTTGTGTCATTGTGTGTGTTGGTCTGATTTAAATCATCTTGTTTTAAAGCTCACTTATCTTTGTCTGCAGGCAGGCAAAGACTAATAACGGAATTTAACCCTTAACTTCCCAGTTTTAACTTCATAATACTCACTATTCAAAACTACATAGAAAGAAATGCAAACAGACTGATAACACATTTGATTATAGTGAAAATCTGAAATGGGGACATATGATTAAAATATATATCAATCAATGTGCTGCTCAGATGGGTCTTCAATGTTGGATTATTGTGTTTCTCACAGAGTTCTCAGAAGAAGCCACACGTTATAAAGATAAAGTGAGTATTTTAATGGAGAGAAAAGCACAGCTGATGGAGAAAGACAAACAAATTCAAGAGAAAGAAAAACTTCTGACAATAAACACAGAGACACTTCAGATGAAGGACAAGATGCTGGAAGAGAAAGAGACACTTCTCACAGAGACAAAAGAAAAACTGGAACAAATGACCAAAGAAACTCAGATACAGCTTAAAGATAAAGACTCACAACTGGAGAATCAGATCAAACTGCTGAGAGAGAAAGAGACTCTACTGGAGATCACAGTGAAACAGCTTGAAGAGAAGGAGAGACTTCTAAGTGAGAGAAACACACAGCTAATGGAAAGAGACAAGCAGGTTGAGGAGAAAGACAGACTTCTAGAGGAGAGAAACAAGCAGCTGCAGGAGAGAACAGATCCAGACTCAGCAGCTCCAGCCAGGAGGAGAAACAGCAAATACTTTATACCTCCACTCTGTAAGTAACTGTAAGCATGAAGATGCTTGAAATGACATTTTAAAATCTAAATGTTTAAAATGTGCATGTCTGACAGCCACTAGAAATAAGTGAGTGTTTCTCTATATAAAGATCGAGAAGAACTGATTTGCATTCTTGGGAAGAACATTCTTCACAAGTTACCTTGCAAAAATGGGGAAACTCAGAAGAACATGAGAATAGAGAACACAAGTATTACAGTTTGAGATGTGCTGTGTTCTCACAGTTTCTACTGCGCAGTTCTCTGAGCTTAGTCTACAAGCTCAGAATGTTTACATGAAATCCAAAAATGATACAATACAAATGATTTAAATAACAGCAGCCATGACGATGGCGTCACTGTCATTTAAATGTTCACCATCAGAAAAACTGTGAACAAAGGCCTGATTTATGAGTAAATTTATAGAACTACATGGTGTGAAGCAAAACTGAGTAACTGAGTGCAGGAACTCTTCACCTAAAGGAAAACTAGCTGAGCTGCTGTGCTAATCCAGAAAAGATCCAGGCTGATACTCACTATAACACCACTTTTCATCTGTGACTTTCTGTGGTACCTTTTGCTGTGCTAGATAAAAACTAATGTGTCCTAAAAATTGCCATTTAGTCATAAAATGAAAAGGAGTCCTAATTTCTAATATAGTTATTTAATTATTTGTATTTTCTTAATTTCACAATCAGTATAATTAGAATGTGTGACTTAATTTAAAAAGTGATTAGTAGCTGTAGCGACTAAATCAGAAGTTCAAAGCCAAAATTAACAAGATGGAGGCATCCAAGGTGAAAACATAGTCAACAACATTATCTCCTCTTTGCTGGTTGTTCTGTTTCATAGTGAGCGGAGAGTCACTCAGGAGTAAATGATTTCAGTTTCATATACTATCTAAAATATTTATAATATTTAAAATACTATAATCCCCATCACACAGTAAGAGATTAAATACCTCATTCTTGTTGATTCACAGTGAGTGGAGAATCCTCTAGTTCAACCTCTTCAGAGTCAGTTCCTGTAGCAGAGCTCAGGCTGGTGCTGCTGGGGAGGACTGGATGTGGGAAGAGAGCAGCAGGAAACACCATCCTGGGCAGAGAGGAGAGGAGCCAGGCTGGAGCGTCTACAGTGAGGCAGCAGAGTGAGAGCAGACAGGGGGAGGTGGCTGGGAGGCAGGTGACTGTGGTGGACACTCCTGACTGGTTCTGTCCTGGACTCTCTCTGGAGGAGCTGAGACAGGATGTGGGACTCTGTGTCCGTCTGTCTGCCCCAGGACCCCACGCCTTCCTCCTAGTCATAGCAGTGAAGCAGTCTACAGGAGAGGAGAGAGGCATGCTGGAGAAAATGGAGGAGATCTTTGGAGAGAGATGTTGGAGGAACACCATGATCCTTTTCACTGTTACTGATGTCCAAGAGAAGAACATTGAAGAGTTTATCCAGTCAGGAAACCAGGAGGTCCAAAGACTTGTAGAGAAATGTGGGAACAGGTTTCACTGTCTCAGCATTAAGGAGAGTGGAGATGGTTCTCAAATCTCAGAGCTGCTGGAGAAGATAGAGAAGATGGTGGAAGGAAACAGAGAGAAATTCTACAGCAATGAGATCTACCTGGAGACACAATCTCAGATCAGAGAGATAGAGAAAATAATGGTGCAAGAAAGAGAGGAGATGAGGGAGAGACAAGAAAGAGAAACTAGAGAGAAACTGGAGAGATGTGAACAGGAGATTAAAATAAAGTTGAAAGAACTAACAGATAAATTTAATGCACAAATAAATAAACATGAAGAGCGAATAACTCAACTAGAGGAAATGCTAAGAGAGGAAAGAGATGAGAAGAGAAAGGTAGAGCTGGAGAGAGAGCTGGAGAGAGAGATTCAGCGAAGGAATGAGGTTCAGTTGGAGCTGGAGAGACTGAAAGAAGAGACTGAAAAGGAGAGGAGAGAGATGGAGGAGAGACACAGACAGGAGATGGAAGAGATCAGGGAGACATACGAAGGACAAGCCAAGATGGAGGCAGAGAGAATCATGAAGATCATCCTGCCTGAACTCCAGCAGAGAATCTGGGAACTCATAATAAAGAAACAGAAAGAGTTTGATTGTAGGATGGATCAAAAGGAGAGAGAGATTGAAACACTGAGACAGAGACTCAGAGAGGGAGTCAGAGAGGGAATCACAGCAGGAGGAGATGATCATCAGGACGACACTAGAGGACTGTTTAGCAGGTTAACACAGCGGCTGCTTTGGGGAACACTCAGTGATCCAGTTATAATCACTCAGTCAGATCAGTGAGAGCTCCTGACCGACTACCAGTCATAGCAAATGCACTGATTTAACTCATAGAGTTTTGAGCTTGGGATGAGTGAAATTTTCCCTCCCTGCAGTGTTACTGCATTTCATTTTTCTGGGAATATACAGTATGTTACTGTATTGCTGCAGTGTTACTGTATCTGTTTTTATTGTCATTATACAGTATGTTACTGTATTAATGTATTTTTGATTGATCTTATTCAAAACACTACATATGCTAATTTCCGCTGCAGCAGAATCAGTAATTTGAATGATAACAGCTTCTCCAGCCATCAGAGTGAAGAGGAAAGATCTACTGTGATCTGTTTAGTGTGTCTTCTGCTCCACCTTTACCTCTTTTATATTTTTGATTTGTATGTAATTCAGAAAACATTTGTGCAATAAAGGTTTTTATGAGTTGAATTGCTGCAGTCATATTTGCCTTTGTCATCACTATAAAACACATTTCTAGATTTAATCATTTCTTCATTTCGGCCTTATTTTTAATTTTTCTTCATTCCATAATTTTGGTCCACATAATCATGGATACTATTAAATATAGTGGTGAATCTTTACTGTTAAGTGGTTTTGTTGTTGGTGTTGGAAAAAATGTCATTCTGTGTCTCAAAGTTGCCGACAGCAGCAGCCATGCAAACATTGGCACAGTGACAGTGACAGTGGTGAAAGTGGATGAATATCAGAGGAGAGCTGCAGCAGTGTTGATTGTTTATTTACACTGGATAAAAGCAGAAAAATACTTCGTACAATTTTAATTTGTTTTGAATAATATTGAATTTCAGAAAATGAAACTTTGGTGTTTCTGGCTCCCCCAAAAAAACACAGCATCTGGTTTATTCCACCCCACAGTTCATGGCAAAAGTTTAGAAAATTGAACTCTTGATGGAACACCCTGCTGACGGCAGAATTTTCTGTTGCTACTCCATTGAAATCTATGGAATATCCAGCCATTTGTCCTTCAACCGCAAGCATGTAAACACAGCATTAGAGCGTTATTTTGGGCCATAAATGAACAGTTATACAGTTATGATATTGTAAATTACAATATCACAACACTTACACTCAAATGCAAAAAAAAAAATAAAATAAAATAAAAAAATGGGCCAAGCATAAAATACCAGTCATTTTACTGCTGTTTTTGCTGGGTCAGAATCCAGATTTAATCTCTTAAAATCTCAGACTTTTTACATATTATGTCACCTTAGTCAGTTACTACATGAGCTACAATGCAAATAGGCTGAGTTATTCTTAGGTTATTGAAGAATGTAGTAAAACTGTGGGTCAGTGGGTCCTGGACGTGCTCATTGGATCAACACTGACTCTTCTTTCTGTAAAAGGTGTCTGCAAGTTTACAAAGAAGACTTCAGCATTTAAATGAATCAAAGGAAAAAGCATTTGCATACTAAGTTACTTTATTGTTTCATTGATTTGTTTTTAAGATCATTAAAAGCTTAATGCTTTGCCACTTTTGCACGAGTATGTAAATTAATGTTAATTTCAGCTGTTAAAACAGTCAACAGTATATGAGCACTAAGAAAGGTTGGTGCACATCTTTGGCCCTTCAAGAATAAACACGGACAATTACAGCTTGTAAAAGACATTCAGTATGTTTTACTTGAAGGTCATACAAGACATTGACACATAGTTTATCTCATATGTAGCAGGTTTACAGTGATTCTTTCAGCAAAGAGTCATGACACAGAGCTTCTGCCATTGTTTTCCTTCTCTAACAGCTGAATAAATTCGGAAACGCAGGTCATATTCACACTCACACTATCTAGACTTCCAGAAAGGCTGGGGTAACATTGTTCTCTCTAAACAGATTCTACTAATTATAAATCAAAACGTGATTGGTGGATTCCACTGTCAGTTCCTAATTATGTTTGTGGTTAATTTGATTGGTCAGGCCTTTAGTCCAGCTCATAAACCAATTGCCTAACCAATGGGAGAGTCCACCTGGTTATGTGTGCTCAGATACCATGGAGAAAAAAATCCTAACCAGACAATTTTCTGCAAGGAGTTAAAGATTTTAACCATTTTGTTTCCAACCTAAATTGAACTATGAAATCAGAGCATTATTACAAAACTCACCAACTTAAATACAAGTATGATTACTCTATGAATTAAAAATGAGCTAAAACTTACAGAACATGTAATGTTAAGTTGTCAAAATATTATTAGTCCTTCTCTGAAGGCCTAGAAGGCCCTGAAGGTTCTCCACTTAGCAAACCTAATCACTGCCAAAAATCCAAAAAAACATAGAGATGTGGATCTCCTCATTACTGTCAATCATCAGAGTGAAGAGTAGAGTCTGATTATCTTCAGTTCTTCATTCCACCCTGATCAGATCAGTGTGTGGAGGGAAGAACAGAGAGAGCAGAGATCAGACTGCTTCACTTACTGCCTTTAATCACTGATTCAGGATCAGCTCTTAGGACTGCAGTGAATGTGGAGCAGCACGTTAGAAATGGAGGTTATGTGAGCAGCTCCATTACATGGAGCTTCTAAAATTCTTAACTTCTTAAATTCCTCTTACTTAACCATTAATTACTGCTTTTGTGTCCCTCCAAGTAAAGTGACAACACAAAAGCAGTAATTAATGATTAAGTAAGAGGAATTTAAGAAGCAATGAATGGTTGATTAAGTGGAATTTAAGAAGTAATTAATGGTCAAAATGTAAAGATCTAATGACCATGGGCCCTTTTCACAAAGAGTCGCGATTACGTCCGGATTAAGCATTAGCAGTGAACTATAATGCTCAAATACTGAGCTACAACAGACATATGTTAGTTTTCGTGCACTATCATGACAAAAGGAAGTGAATGAAGGCACTGATTTAACTGTAAACACAGCTAAAATGCTGTGTGTGGTGGAGCCCTGCTTACTGCTGCTGCAGCTGCTCACATCAAGCAGTGTCTCTGTAGTTGTACAACATGCCAGCTAGCTGTGTTCACAAAATAAGGAATCTAGTTAGCTTTCATTAGCTGCTGCCACCAGCCGGCTAATGTGGAGCAGGTTCTGTGACACATTTAGCTACATGATGGCAGCGACTTCTGACATAAACACAAACAAAAACTTTTACATGTAAAGTCTATTTGATGGACAGCAGGCTACAGTCGCTAATTAGCTAGGCTACCATTAGCAGTTTGAGGAGCACCAGCTTCGCATGAGCAGCAGACCTTAAAGCTAAGTTAGCTCTAACGCTGGCTATGTTAGCGATCTGCCAAACAGCATTATTCTTATAGTTTCATGGCAATTTTTGAAGCAGCACTTCAGAAAACATCCACTTTTCACTGCTCAGTCAAAAACGAGACTCCCAGCTGAAAAAAAATCTGAAAAAGCTGCTTCATGTTAGCCGGGCTAGTTTGGTTAGCGGTAGCTTCTAGCCAGTATAGGTTAGCTAGCTTAATATAAACAGAGTCTATAACATTCATGCTACATATAAAAGTTCTTCTTTCTTTTGAAAACAGAAGATTACTGACATCGCTGGCGTGTTGTACAAAGACACAGAGACTGCCTGATGTGATGCAGCTGCAGCAGAACTGCAGTAAAAACAACACACAGCATCTCAGCTCTGTTTACAGTTAAATCAGCGCCTCCGTCCACTTCTTACTCTCACTGTCACAACCGTGCAGGAACACTACAATACAGCTGTTGTAGCTCAGTGTTTGAGCGGTAGAGTTCACTATTAAACATTTTGACATCGCGTCTGCAGTAGCCATATGGAGAGGAAGTGAGTTTTACCCTGTTAATGCTTAAACCGGAAGTAATCACGAATCTTGTGAAAAGGGCCCATTAATCATCAAAGTTACGTAAAAAAAGAACACCTTTTATTTTTGCCTTTTATACGGTATGAACTGCTCTGCGTCTGATTCATAACAATTTTGTACGATGTGGAAACAAGTGGAGATTTGAGCATAAATGATAAATCAGCTTCAGTGCATGAAACCAGCCGACCAGCACCTCATTTACATATCATTTACATGAAGCACACCCTAATTCATGCAGACGTTTCAGTAGCCAGCCAATAAAACGGCAGTGTTTGGCATGAAAGCTAATGGCCTTGCTCATGGGTGGAGTTTGATGTCCAGCAGTGAGTGCACTCCTCCCCTGCTGACCAAACGTAATAGTATTAAAATGAAAACAACTGGAAAAAATAAAATGTGAAATACAACAAAATACCCTCAGTTGTTAACATAGTAGAGTGATTGTTTAGTGTAATTAATTCCCTGAAATAAACGCTGTATTATTGCAGTGTGTGACAACAAAAGCACAGTGTAATGTGTCTTTAAATGGAACATGAAATAGTTGCAGCACTTGTTTATATCAATGTGCATGTAAAGTAAGTACATCCACTTTTGTACTGGACTGTCATGCACACAAATTAGTATTATTGAAATTTTCTATTGTTGTTCTTATTTTTGCAATTACAGATTATGTTGATAATAGTTTTAGTTAATTAGCCACATATCCAGCATTTATGCCCAAATTTACATGCACTCCTACCAGATATGAGGACAGATATGCCAAGATGAACGTGATGAATAACAAAACCATCCATGAATTTGTGTGCACTCATCTTATGGTCAGATGTGACCATAAGCATCTTTAATGAACCAAAGTGAGAAAAGTGAAGCAACTGAATGTATGGAGGTGATGGAAAGTTAATTAACAGATAATTAGCGGGATTAACACATAAGTGCTAATAAGTTATCACGTTACTTCTTTATATGAAGAAAAATACTTATTAGTTAATTAACAATGTAATAAGCAGCAATTAGCACACAGATAATGAGTAAGTAAGTCACAAACTAATGACAAACTAACTTATCAACTAACAGTGTACTTAATTACTAATTGATAAGTGCTTAATCAATTACTAAGTAATAGCTAATGCTTAATGAAGAGTTAACTAATAACTGAATAATGGGAAACTAATAGTTGATTATTATATATTTAATGATTGATTAGCGACCCTTAATGTTACCAGTAACACTTTTCTGTGTAAACAGAGTTCATTAGTGCAGCAGTGTACACTCGGCTTACATTACATGGCATCAGATACCAGTATCAGCGTTAATATTTTTCATGAAATGGTAAAATGTCTCACTTTCAACATCTGATATGTGTTCTATGTTCTATTATGAATAAATATGAGTCTAAGACATTTGCAAATCATTGTGTTCCGTTTTAATTTACATTTTATACAGCCTCCCAACTTTGTACACATACACACACACACACACACACACACACACACACACATACACACACACAAATGTGCAGCATTTTACTTTTGTCTCCTACAGATCAATGATCTCTTGGTGGACTTGGTGTGTTCATCTGTTTTGTTTGTCATTATGTGACTGGAATG